GGGAGCCCAGCCCAGCCCTGCCCAGCCAGGCCCTGCCCTGCCCGGTCCTGCCCGTCCCGTCCCGCTGCTCCTGTCGCATCCCGCTCCCGGCCCTGGGGAAGGCAGGGCTGGGGGAGAAGCCACCCGGGCGCTGAGCAGGGCTCGCCTCCCCCGCTGGGCTCAGCGGAGCGGCTGCCCGACCTGTTGCTCCGTTTGACTTTAATTTTAGGTTCGGCTTGGTTTTTTTGTTTGGCTTTTGTTGTTGATGGGGGTTTGTTTGTTTGTTTGTTTTGGGTTTTGTTGGTTGGTTGTTTTTTTTCCTAAGTCTCTCAGCAGTATTTTAACCGGATTACACGGAGGAGGGGTTGAAGCTGAAAACCTCATTCATCCTCACTGCGGTCCTATTCATTGCTGAAATAGGTAGAGCCGGTAAGATCCTCCCCCAGCCTCACTCCTTTTTTGGGGATCTGTTTCAGCTTTCCTCCCTTGAATAGTGGGGATGGGAGAAGAGGGGCTTTCGCTCTCGTGGTGACAGAAGCGTAATCATAAATCACGTACCTTGTTTGTCCTTCTGTCCTTTGGTCATAGAGGGGCTCCAGCCAGCTGTGTGGTCTCACGTACCGTTGCTCCCGCTGAACGGTTTCCAAGTTTGAGGTAAAAGATCAAATCGCACTTTTCAGGGACTTATTGAGACGCTCAGAAATTTAAAAAAAAAATATTTAAAATGAAAAAAAATAAAATAATCGTTTAAGGCTATTCAGTCCTGCTCATTTTCTCCCACGTGTTTTCACTATTTACCATGTATTTGTCTTTCTCTGGTTCAGTTTCTAGCTCAAAACTGTGGGATTATTTTTTCTAATAATAATAATAATAATTAAAAAAAAGTTAGAAATAATAAATTAGGAGTTAGTTTCTCGTGGTCGAAGCTGAAGATCTTTTCTCCAACCCGGGTAGGCAGAAGCCTGGAGAAGTTGCAAGGCAGCGTCTGAAAGTTTGAGAGATGTACAGCATCAGATAAAGTCTCTTTGGTGATGCCTTGCTGAACGAGTAACTGTTTCAATGAGGTTTCTCAGCAGCAGCAGCAGCACACGGGTAATATTTTCCAGACGTCTTTTTCTTTCCTGCTGCTGCTTTTCTGCCTCCTCCACGTTATGGGGTCTTCTAACAAGTGAGACTTGAGTGGTTTTAATAGGCGGAGGATGGGAAGAAGGAGGGGAGGGAACTCCTGTAAGGAGGAAAAAAAAAAAAAGAAACCAACCCTGCCCATTGAAATGATCTCAGCCAAGGACCAGTTCAGCGGCCGGAATTCAGTTAGCCAAGTTGCAATTTTTTTGCAGAGAAATGCAATACACACATGTTGCCACCACCTGATTTCCTCTCCATGCCCCGCAGTTAGGGGGAAACCCCCAATTTCCCGGCTCCCTGCATCTCTAGGTTGGGGTGTGGGATTCTTTCCTCCCACAGCCACTATTCGTCTGGGACAGCTTTTACTGCTGCTGGTTTTTATTAATAAGGGAATTGCCTCTATGAATGGATGAACTTTGCAGTTTCCAATCCTGCTTTACCCATTCACTCTCGGAAACATTTGCTGTAGTAAACACCCGAGGAAGCCCTTACTAGCTCCAATACCCGTGCCACTTCGGTTAAAACAAGCCAGGAAACACGTTAGGCAGATCGAGAGCTGGTAAATTGTGGGATTTTGTTTGTTTTCTTTATTTTTACTTTCCCCTGCAGCGTTCCCCCCGCGCTCTTTGGATGGTTTGCAGCCAGGCAGGAGCGGGCAGGGGCACCAGCACCCCCGCCTGCCAGCAGCTCCCTCGCACCGACACGGGCTCCTTCCCTTTGTAAACTCCTCTCTGCCTCGAAGGCGGATTTCCCGGCTCTGGAGCCCCCGTTTCCACCAGGAGTTACACGAAGAGGGCACTAGGTGGCACTGTTGAAGTGAGAGGAGCAGCACGGGACCCTCCGGCAGCCCGAGCCGGGATGCGCGGCGGAGGCAGCGCTGGATGCTGCTCGGTCTCGCCCTGCCCTGGCAGGGACCCTCCGGGGGAGGATGGCGGTGTCAGCTGCTTAGTCCCCTCTGCTGTTTCCTCAAGGACCACAAAGGTCGCTGCTTGGAGGCGTCGAGCCCGCAAAAAGGATCATGTCCAGACACCGTTGGGAAACCGGGTGGTGACTCCTCGCCGAGTTATTGCCCTTCGCTCATTACCTTGTGGCGTGGGAAGACCTTGCAGTGCTCTGGGGGCTTCTCATACCGCAAGAAATGCTTTAAAGTGGTTACTTAGACTGGAGGTTTTTTGGGCACGTCAGATTTTCAGGTGTGCTCCGTTGCTGAGCAGTGGAGTGAGTGGCTTTAGGATGTGCCCTGAGGCCGAGCTCCTTAACAAATTGGTCTGCCTCAAATAACAAGTCTGCCTCTAGTTTAAGCTGGAGTGTTTGGGCTGTTTCAACCTGGCAGTACCAGGGAAAGCAGCTGTCTCAACTTCCTCCTGCTTTGGGCTTCTCCTCCCTGCCTCCTTATTGTGTCTTTCCCTATGTCAGGAGAGCTGACCTAGGTTAGAAACCAGCTATTTGGGGAGAGAAAGCAGCAAAAAGCTAAGAACAAGGAACTTGGACAGGAGGAGCATTTTTGAAAGTACAGCATGGCTCAGCAAGCATGAATCAGGGCTTTCAGGCATTCCTCCATTTCAGGTCTTCCTCCCTAGACAGCACCCTTCCCATGTTCCAACCACCTCTAAATAGTCTGTGTTGCAGCATCTCCTGCTACAGGACCCAGCAGGTCTTTCTCATCAGGCAAGGGACAAATTGCAATGTTTGCTCCAAGCAGGGCCAGAGGGCAGAAAGGTGTCTAAAGGGCTAGTGAATGCCATGTCCACACTAGCCTTCCTACCACGCAAATACCTGGTGTAAGCCAGATTTATGACATGATGAACAATTACCATTTAGGCAGGCAAGGAACTAGCACCAACTTCTGCTACCATCATACATATAACAGAGTCCTCAACATCTGCGTGAGTCTTAAACCATGATTTCCTGACACCAGAATTCCCCTGTAGCTGCCAGAGGCAAGAGAGATAAAGTGGTAACACAGATGTCCCAAGTCTGTCCTGGAATATGGCTAGCCCCAAAGCTGTGCCTGGGGGAGCTGTTGCTGCCAACCCCTCCCAAGCTCCCTGGGAACTCCTTTGTCTTGTCTTAATTCCAGGACATGTATGTCCTACACAGAGGGCTTAATGTCCAGGAAAATTTCTGAAATGATATGTGAGGGCTGAGGTGGGTTTGTTTGGTGTTTTTGTTTTATTTTTATCTTTTCGTAACCAAATGTTACAAATGAACTTTTTCAGATGAGCATATGTGACAAATGAACTTCTTCTTTTTTTTTTTTTTTTTTGTATTCCACCCTTTATTAGTTTAAATTTGGAGGCTGCATGTCTCCTCTACTGATGACTGTATATTACTCTGGAAAAACACAGTGTCCCACTGGCTTAATCTCATGCTCTTTGGTTCTGAACAGGGATCAAGAGACAGAGTCTGGTGAGGCACAAATCTTTGCGTCCTGCTTGTGTTACAGGGGCAGCAATAGCAGCACTTAAATCACACTGAAACTTTGTTTTAGAAAATGACATAATGGGAGTGGTGAGTCTCTCATGTCCACAGCTACTTCCTTCTCAGCCATAGCTCATGTTGTGTGATCAAGCTGTCAGGGCAAGAGGGATAGATAGGTCACTGAAGATAGGTTTGCTTACCAGGAATGAATTAAAAGTAGGAGGATATGATTAATGCCAATCCACACAGTGCTGTAAAAACAGATGTAGATGTGTTTCATTGGAGGGATATCACATCTACATTTCGATGTTATGTTAAGTCTACATAGTAACCATTATCAAACAATCCTGTTTTCTAATTGGGATTCACAATCACAAGTAGTGGGGAAAAGGGACTTCTTGTCTGTCACTGTCCATATGCATGGATGATCACCAGCAGTAGGAGAATAATCTTAATGAACCAACCTGACTTAATTTTCTAATGAGTCAATTATGTCTTTTGATAGAGGTCAGATAGAATATATTTTGAGGGGAGTTTGACATAGGCTATGGCTAAATAAATTGGTTACTGCAGAGCAAATTAGGTAATGAATTGATGGCATGTTAACCACTCTTCAGCAGCTATTGAGCACTTGCTTTTATCCTGAGGGGTTGGCTCCATGTGCATATTTCCTGTCTCTTCTTTCCTCTCACCCTCAAATGTGCCAATCCACCTCCCCCAACATACACCACACACACACACACACATCAAACTAGTCTCTCACTTGGACCAGTGATCTGTGTTGAAGACAGCCACAAAGCATGAACACTGTCTCCTATGTGCATGTATGGACTGACTGTCCAGGGTGAGGGGAACAGGGATGTTCTCGGGTGGAAAGGAGCAGCCAATGTAGCTGGCAGCAGGACTACCCTAAACAGCATCCTTGGTAGCATTGCTGACAGGAAAATATGAACAGAGTTGGTCCCTCAGTGAAGCCTGGGTGTCTCAGCCCATCCATGCTGGACTCTTATCCCACATCTTCTCTAAGGTAAAGATTTACACACACTCCTTTATTGTAGATCATCTGCCATGCAAAGCTTATCAAAAAGAAAAGCAAGAAGAACATTTTTTTGCAACGCACAGTAGTCTTCACAGTAAGAAAATTAGAGGTAATAAGGATCTTATTCATGTAACAGTAAGAAGCTAAAAACAGAAGGTAGGCAAATCCAAGCTAGACAGAAGGCACACTTAATAGTAAGCTTTCTTCAACAGTTATCTGAATGATGAAGGGGAGTGGTGGATTCCTATATTTTGGAGAGCTCTGGATGCTTTTTTGGAAGCTACATTTTAGTTCAGTGCAATTTATTCTACCCAGTACAAGAATAAGAGAATGGGTTTCCATAACAGAGATGTCAGACTAAGCTATGTAGCAGTAACTCCCATCCCTAGACTCCATGTGAAACTACATAACCAGACTGACATGTCAGGTGTATTCCGAACCTATTTCCACATGTAGAAATTCTGCTTGAAGTGGGAGAGTATTAGAAACTGATATGGGTGTAAGTGAAAATGGAATCATGCCCTAAAGGATGATTTTATGGCAACTGAGAATCTACTAGCAGATGTTAATACAAATGTCATGGGCAGTTTGAGGCTCATGAAGACTGGGTGCAGATAGACCTAAAATTCTGTGGTTTTTTTCACTACATACAGAGCCATTTTAGAGTTTGCCAATGTTCTGAGCATTTAAATCCAAAGTTACTTATAAGTGAAGCTTTACAGGATCTGGAGAAAACCACTGCTCTTTACAATGAAATCATTCTTGCAAAATTGAAACTTTCCAACAGTTTCTCTTACATATAGCAGAGAAAGCCATAACAGAAGTTAGTAGCACAGGTTCAGACTAGAAACAAGTCACACACATTGGGATATGTCCAGAACTCTTGGCTAGAACAGACTGTGATTGTCAGAAAAAAAACCCTTCAAGACAGTCTGAAGTAATGAGTTTTAATGTGTAACCAGCATGGAGTAGAAGTAAAAGCGGGTCAGTTATAGGGTTCTATTGTGAAGTTTAATTTAAGAGAAATTACTTAATCGCATGCCCGTAGTCTAATGTGACAGTAGTGAGAGCCCAGTTTAGATTGACTCTATCTTATGTTTAAACAGCAGCATTATATTCTGTATAGGGTTCATAGATAACACTACATAAAACAAAGAGCACATGCAAGTGAAAGATGGATCTACAAACAATGACTATGCTATAAAACCTAACTGACCAGAGCCAGACAGCTCAAGGTTGGCACATGTTCATCCACGCTATTCCACTGCTGCCAAGCTCCTGGTGGGGCTGATTCTGACCAGTCTGGAGAGTCCAACCATCCCTGAAGAGGACCAGTTCCCCACCTGGGAGGAGAATGTTGGGGCATTCACCACCAGCTGGCTGCTCACAGGGTGGGAACACACTCCTGTACAATCCCAGATGGAGCAACTGGACAAAATAGTGGTTTTTAAACCCACCAGCATAGTGGTTTTTAGCAGCCCCCATGACTGGTTGGAGGTAGCTGATTTTATTAATTGCCCCACTGCCTAGGCAGGGCAC